TCCTTCTCCTCCTCTCCTTCTTCTCCTCTTCCTCCTCCTCTCCTCTTCCTCCTCCTCCTTCTCCTCCTCTCCTCCTCCTTCTCCTCCTCTCCTTCTTCTCCTCTCCTCCTCCTCTCCTCTTCCTCCTCCTCTCCTCTTCCTCCTCCTCCTTCTCCTCCTCTCCTCCTCCTTCTCCTCCTCTCCTCCTCCTTCTCTTCCTCTCCTCCTCCTTCTCTTCCTCTCCTTCTTCTCCTCTCCTCCTCCTCTCCTCTTCCTCCTTCTCCTCCTTCTCCTCCTCTTCCTCCTCGGCCCCAGGGCTGTGGGAGAGGCAGTCTCGGGAGTCAGCCCCAGCCCCACCCAGGGCCCTGGGCAGCTGTGCCACCTTATCCTCCAGCTCCCTGGCCCGCATCTGGAGGAAGGTGCCTATCCAGGTGACAGCAGCCTTGTCATGCGGCAGGTCCATGGCCCCGATGTTCTCACAGAGTTTCTGGATGAGTGAGACCACCTCGTCACTGTTAAACTCCATGCAGACCACCTAGGATCAGAGCACAACCCAGTTCCAGCCCGCTCCCCTGGCTCCTCCTACTCCACCCAGGGGGCATGGCCATGGCCCTCACTGTCCTGAGGAGGTACTCAGACAGCAACTCAGCACCTCCCACATCAAAGCGCTCCCACAACCAACCTCTCCCCGTCCTCGCTGCCTGCCTCCCGCCCTCCCTGAACCCCACACAGGATGCTCCCGCACAAATCTCCTGTCCCCACTCCACTCCAGGAGGAGGAGGCTGCCCTGCAGCCTGCCTGGCCTGCGTCCTGAGCCCTGTGCTCATCCTGCCTCCCCCAAAGCCCCCTTTGCACCAGGAAGCAGCTTCACCCTCAGGCAAAGGGGAGCTCACGACGAAAGGCCTATTTGCAAGGAAGGTGCCTATCCAGGTGACAGTAGCCTTGTCTGGGCACTGCCTTTCATTAGTGTGACATTAGCCCGCAGGACTGCTCTGGACCATTCCTGGGGCCCTCTCCATGCTCAGCGCAGCACATTGTAAGTGCCGGGAGGACTTGGCCAGGAAATGCTAGGCACCATCTCTGCTCAGCGCCCCAGTGAGGAGCCCTACGCAGGTCATTTCAGGGCAGATATATCCCTTGGACAAAAGGCTGGGGAGACAGCAACCCCTAGAGAACATGGGAGACACAGCCAGCCCAGGAAAGCCCAGCCCAAGAAGTGGCCAGGGGTGGGGACCAGCCCGTGATCACCTTGGCAATCCTGGAGGAGGCACCGAAGACCTTGTCGGYGTCTGTGTCCTGGATGTCCTCCTTGCACTTCTCCAGCTCCTTCTCCTTGGCAGCATCCCATAAGGAGCAGGTCTGGCTTGCTGTTGGGAATACAATTTCAGACCTGGTGGGCAAGGATGGGGTCTGGCCAAGGCCACTCAGCGGCAACGTCCTGCCCTGGCTGCAGAGGCCTGAGCCACCCTCCAGCATGGGCACATCCCATCCCTCTTGCACTTGCTCTCACTGTTCTTCCGGGTGTGGCCTCTGCCCACACCTCCTCCAGCACAGCTCAGCCCCCCTGCGTCCCCCTGTGCTCAGCTCCAGCCAGTCCCACTGCATCCTGGGTATCCGTAGCTGACCTTGCCCAGCACTGCCTTTAGTGCATCAACCCATGGGTCTCTCCTTCTGGAACCTTCTGTGGCCTCTTGGTGCTCTCCCCCCCACTCTCCTCTGGCAGCCCTGTTTGTCTCCCACCCACCCCATAGACAGTCACACTGCCCCAGGGCAGGCCTGCAGCCGACCCTCCCCCTGCAGCCTGCCTCCTTGCCCGCAGAGGCCGGCCCCCATGGCCTGSTCTCCCCATACCATGAAGATCTAGCAGGCTGGACAGGATATTAGTTGAGGCCACACGTGTTCTTTGGTGGGTATCACAGGTGCCTGGGGCAATGAGTCCAACCAGTGTGCCAAACTGCCCCAGCTTCAGGGGAATCTGAGGGACAGGGGACAGCAGGGCTCACACCTCTGTCCTCACACACACCTGGGGCTGCCCAGAGGCAGCACGATGACGGCTAGAGAGGGTGAACCCTGTGCTGGGCACCCTGCTCTGGGTACAGGAAGGCTACCCCATCCACCTCCTCCCAAGCATAAGTCTCCCAGCGCCACGGTATGGTGCTGCAGGAGGTCAGCCAGGATCGGGGTCCGGCCTCGGGACACGCGCTGAGTCGGCTCTRCCCTGCTCACTGCTCTGAACTGGGCCGTTTCCATGTCTAGGCCCCTGTCTCATTCCTGTAAAATGGGCCTCCCCGCTCACTAGCCGAGTGGCCTGGGCAGGGGACGTGGCCTCTCAGTTCCTCACGTTCCCTGTCTGTAAAGTGGAGCAAACAAGGGCGCCTCCTCTTTGGGGGACGTTATGAGAACAGATCACGGAACCCAGGTCACGTGTCCTGACAGTACCTGGCCTCACATGGCCTTAATATTGGCCGTAGCTCCTGCCGCACTTGGCCAAGCTGCTCCCACCTCCATCCAGGTGCCCCGGGGTCTCACCCACAGGACCCCCAGGCCTGAGGTTGTGCCTGCACCTCAGCCCTGGGACACCCTCCTCCCACCCTCAGCCATCCCCAGGGTGTGGTGCTGGTCAAGCCACTTGTGACTGTCGCAGTCCACTCCCTCATTCTAAGTGGACTTCGTTTTCCACTCATGTTCCAAACGTGAGTGTCCTCTCTGGTTTTTAAAGAGGGCCTCGCCATGGCTGAGCCTCAGGCTCACTAACCTGGTCCAGGCCAAGCTGCTGGCCTGTCCTCCCCCCACTCCCCGCCCAGAGCCCGGGGCTTGCTCATGGCAGCCTCTTCCCAGGGGCTCTTCAAGGGCAGAACTTGACTTTAGAAGCTCCCAGAGAGAGAGGAGCTCTATGAGGTCAGAGTGGCAGGCTGGCTGCGCTGCGCTGGCTTGGGACCCTGGACTCACGCAGACGCCGACACTTTGCACGTAGATCTGCATGAGATGGAGGTGRAGGTTGGTGGCCTTCTCCCGTTCCCATTCTTTCTCTGACAAGATCCACTTCTCCAGGAGCTATGTGTAGAGCCCAGAACACAGAAGTGGGCTTTAAAATCCTGGGCAGCCCTGTCCTGGCCAGCTTTGGCCCTCCTGAAACCTCCCACTCTGAGTGTGACTTTCAGTGCTTCTGCAGGGCTCCAGGCACGTCTGGATTCTTTACAGGCTTACTACGGAGGAAAACCAGGTGCTGGTTTTCATTCACAGGGATGGTGTTGGGCTGCTGTGTTGAGCCCGGCTCCAAACATCTGCCTGCCACGAGGGGCCGGGAGCACAGCCCACCCCACTCCAGAGGGGCCTGGGGCCATCCAAACACCACAGTTCCTGTCAGAGCAGGGGACATTGCTATTGTGGCTTGCATCTCGCGTGCTTCCCAAAGGCCCTGTGCCAAGGACGCAGCCTCCAGCCTGGAACACCCCTGGGAAATGGCAGAACCTTCGGAGGTGAGGCCTAGTGGAAAGAAGCTAGGTCACGGGGGGGTGTCCTTGGGGGTGTCCTTGGTTGGTTCCCTGGATCCTTCCTCCCTTCCTCTTTGCTTTCCCGTGGCCACGAGGTGAGCAGACCCCCTCAGCCAGGCACTCCTGCCATCACTCAGGGAGCATCACGCTCTGCCCTGCCGCAGGCTCAGGGAAAGGGAGCCGGCCCACCACGGGCTGAATGCTGAGAAACCAGGAGCCAAAAGCACACTTCCTCCTCCTACGCTGATTTTCCCAGGCGGTTTGTCACYGCCATGGAAAGCTGACTGACAATCACTATGGAACACGAGGRCCACGAATCACCACAGAGGGTCAGTTCATCTAGAAGTCACAGCAGTCCTCGGTGTTTCCACACCCAATAGCACTGCTAAAGGGTACACGGAGCAGAAATGCACAGCACTGGAGAGAGAGACCAACAAGTCCACAGTGACAGTCAGAGGTCAGCACCTCTCTCTCAATGACCGAGAGAACCAGAAGGCAGAATGTCATAAAAGACATAGGAAACAATGCTACCAGTCAGCTTGGCCTGATTGGCTTTAACTGAGAAACTGATGTTGAAAAACCAGCCTCTACCYCAGAGCAAAGCCTGTCCAAGGAAGGGGGCATGACCCTTGTCCTTGGAAAGACCCACAGAGCACTCCTAGGCACACACCCACCCTGCTGAGTTGTTTATCTACAAATAAATAACAGGAGAGATCTGCTGCGCCAGGTGTCCCTGACTCRGTCAGGCTAGGTGGGGACCCATAGCAACCCCCTAGCAACCACTAATCAGCATGAGACAGGGAAATACCTGGGATGCCAGATGACCCTCCCAGTAGTTTATGGTGGTTGATAACATGTTGGGAGACCATGTAGTTCAGCATTACTCCCCTCGTGGCTTAAACAAATCCYCCTCTTGTACTAACCAATCACCCCTACCCAACTTGTTCCCGCCAGTGAATGTGCTAATCATGTTTTAGAGCTGTTATTTGATTTTCCCACAGTGTGTGATGATTTGCTAGGAGATGCTATGATGTATGGGGGGTCCCTGCCTTCCCCAAAGAATGTATAAAACTGCTGCAAGCCCTGGGCTGGGGCCTCTCAGCATCACCAGTTGCTGTCTATGCGCTGAGGACCCACCTAGCTCGCAATAAACGCCTCTTTGCTGCTTACATCCATCTTGGTCTCTGGTGGTCTTTTGGGGGTCCCGAATTCAAGCATAACCTTAATTCATGAGGAAAGGACAGTCCTTCCAACAAATGATGCTGTAACAACTGGCTACCCACATGCCAAGACACTAAAATTCAATACACTTTGACCTGTGCCTCAAAGTGTATCCCATTAACTCAAAATCTATCAGAGATCAATGTAAAATATATCAGGAATGTAATTATAAAACCTGAAAATATAAGACTTCTAGAAGAAAACACAGGAGAGAATCACTGTGATCTGAGGTTAGGAAAAGATTTCTTAGACTTGACACCCAAAACATGATCCATAAAAGAACARAAAACAGACTTCATCTAAATTTAAAACGTCTCTTCATCACAAGACACTGGGGAATTTAGGAAAAGAAAAGCCACAGATTAGTAGAAGAAAATATTTTTAAATCCTGTAACTGGCATACTATACCCAGAACATATTAGACCTCTAAAGGATCAGTAACAAGAAAGCCCAATTTAAAAAAAAAAAGAACCATCCAGTGCCTTTCAAAAACGCCAAGCTTAAAAAGACAAGGACAAAGGGAGGAACTGTTCCAGATGAAAGGAGAAGAAAGAGACACGTGACTAAAAGCAGACTAAAAGCATGCAAGGGACTGGTCTTGGGAGTGGCTATCAAGGACCCTATTGGGGGCAATTAGTGAAATTTCAATATGGATCATTGATTTTAATAGAGCAATGTAGCAACAATCAGTGTCCTGATTCTGATCATGGTCCTGTGGTGATAGATCATTCTTGATCTTGAGGTGAGTAGTTATGAGTAGTTATCTTCCCGTGCTTCAAAACGTGTGTGTGTGTGTGTGTGTGTGTGTGTGTGTGTGTGTGTGATGAGGAAGAGCCAGAGGGGAGAATGTGGAGAAATGTTAAGAATTATGGATTGGGGGAAACGTGACTTTATACTGTTGCAGTTTTTCAGCAGACGTGAAATGTAATCAAAACAAAACCACAGAAGCCAGAATTAGAAAGGCAGTCAGTGTAGATAGTAAATCGAGTCAGGTCGGATCTAAGAGGCGAATTTTGAGTGAGTCTGGGAAGTTGGAGACTGTCCCCTGAGRGATCTTATCAAGAACCTGCCCCTGCTCCAACCTGTTGCCAAGGTGACCTGTCCCAGGAACTGCCCCTCCCCTACAGGGAGCAATAAGGTTGTTACTATGTCCTTGTCTACTCCATCCTGCCCTTCCCCCTTCAGCCCACCTCTTTCCCACCTTCTGGCCTAAGAGCATTCCTGGGCCTAGTCACACGTGCAGGAAGGAGAAAGGTAAGGGGGGAAATCAGGAGAGCAAAGGAAGCCTAGGACACATAAAAAGGGCCGAACATGTCACCCTGGGGACCCCAGGATACCARCTATGGCCCCCTYCTCCCTCCCAGGAGAACCCTGTGACACAGGCTTTATCTGCTTGCCTCGGGTGCGTCTCTAACGTTCAGACTTCAACATGTGGGGAAGCAGGACTTGTCACCAATAACYCACCSATAACCAGMGGTGTCACCACTACAATGTAYTGACGYACCACCCTGCTTCCCACAGTCTGGCCCTCGAGCCTACTCCCTGGAAGAGTGACCACCTCTTGCTCCCCACCCTTGGCCAGGCCACTCACGTGCACCATCTCCTGCAGCCCCCGGGGGTCCAGCTGCCTCTGCATGAGGCTCTCCATCAGCTGCTCCAGAGACCTCAGCGTGTTGGCATACAGAGTCTAAGGCCAAGAGACAGAAGGGGCAGCCGTGAGGGCTACACACAGTCAGCCACTGGGCTCTGCAGGAATCCATGCCAGAGTGCAGAGGGGAGAGGGCCTGATGGCCAGCCCTGAACAGCTGCCCACAGTGAGCTATTTACTCTCATCTTCCCATGTGAAGGGCAAGACCATCTTGTAAGAGGAACCCATCTCACAAAAAACTAGAGCCTAGGACCCTAGGAGCTATGCTTTGGAGATGGTGGGGGCCCCTGTCAGCCTGGATTCGTGACAACTGCATGAAGCAGAGCCACATTCTACCTCACTGACAACTGGGCTTTGCTTGGATGAGAAACTTTTATCTGGTTGCACCACTGAGGTTTGGGGGTTTATCTGTTACAGCAGCTAGTATTACCTGGTATTTACTAGTAGATAATACCTCTACACCTTGCTGCCTCTAACCACTTATAGGTGGCCCAGGAAGGTGGACTCTGCCCATGTCAAAGTAAACACCCAGGTTCTGACCCAGAAAATGAGGTGGCCAAGAGGGTACCTACCCTAATAGACTCGTTGTCCTCTCCAGGGGGTTGGAGAGAAATGACAGAATGTAAACTGATATCCATCAGCTCGTTACTTTCTTCTATAGAGTAGAAAGGCCGCAGTTTGCTGTGGAAAGAGGCATTGACAAGAGGAGAGTCACTGAGGAGTGGAACCTGTGCTGCCCTCAGCCCAGCCAGAGGCACATCCCATCCCTGCCCAGGGGCCCTGTCTGCTGCCCAGCAGCCTCCAGTGCTGTATCTCTGAACGAAGCAGAGATTCAGGGGTCCCAAGTCACTTCTCCCACTTTCAGTGCCTGCTTTGAATTGTGAATCTCCTTCCTCCCCAATCTCAGAGAAAATCTGGTCCAAACCCCAGATTTTCAAGGTGTAATGCAGCTTGGTGTTTGTTAGCCACAGAAACTCTGGCCGGCGGCTGCAGGCCTAGTGAACCAAAGCCTCTGGGATGCACCGGCTTCCTGTGTCTTCACTAACACTGCAGGGGGAGAGCCAGCTGACCGGGGACCAGGGCTCAGACACCATCTATCCCCTCACCAATGCTTCTCAAGACGGTTGCCATTAGCATTACCTGGAGAGCTCCCAAGGACCCCCACAGGCCACTTCCAGGCTCAGGGATTCTTTCATAAGGGCCTGGGGTGGGACCAGGGCGTGGCACTACGGAAAGTTCCCCATTGGTTCTGTTGTGCCCCGGGGCTGACAGACCCTAGCCCACCTTAACTTCCAGCTCCTCTTGCCTGAAGGTGTCTGGCTTCCTTCAGCCCATCTGCCCCAGCCCAGAGCAGAAGTCAAGGGCTGACTCCGGCTCCACACCCTCTGGTGGCCCCTACTGCACAGAGGCTGACTGCATTTTCTGCCCAGCCCTCCTCTTCAGTCTCTTGCTTGTGTCTTTTGGTTCCCCTACAGACATATCCCTCTYGGTCAGCTCTGACCTACGTGCCTGAAGTCCCTGAGAGGCCAAGACCCGGTCCTGCCCAGTACCCAGCGTGTAACTGAACATGTGCTCTGCTGGGGTCAGTGRAGTGTCTTACAATCCGCCTGTGGCTGCCTTCTAGAGCAACACGTGGCTTCTTGGAGAGCCCAGTAACAACCAGTCCTCTGCAAGTCAAGTACCCTGAAAGTGTCCCCACCACAAATCCACAATGCCCCCCTCGCCTCCCCTCCCCTCCCACAGGTGGGCCTCTGGGGAGGGCACACCTTTGCTATGGTATCACCTGTAGAAACAGAGCCAAAAACAGGGCTGGGTTTGTCAGCTGAGTCCAYCCCCATATCCCTCGATGCTCCTTGGCATTGCTCAAAACCCCTCATCCACCCCCAAACCGTCCTCCCTCCTGCCATTCCAGGAGACACATCCAGCCTGAAATGTTGCTGGGAATCAGGGAAGGAGCCGACCCCGTCTTCTAGATGCCCTTTGCCCCAGGGAGCAGCTGCCCCAGACCCCAACACAGAGGCAGGCAGGGAGGAGGAGGTGCARACGCTGAGGGGTCACCAAGGGGTGTCTTGGGGTTTGTCCCCAAGCCCAGGGGCCACTCGGGGCTCAGACAAAGGCCCAGCTCACCTCAGGTGCGAGAGGGCGTCCATTGCCATTGTCCGCACGGGAGAGGCCAGGTGGTCAGTGGGCTCCATCTTGAGGATCGCCTGCGCAGCACAAGGAAGGGGGTGACCTTCCTGCCCCCCAGGAGGTCCGTGGCTGATGGGGACAGAGGCTGCACTCCACAGCATCGGCTCAGGGAAGACCTGGCCCTTTGTAAAGTTCCCTGTCACCCCAGACCTCTGTCCTGGTTTTCYTTTGTTCACTTGGCCTTTGGCATCYCGGGAGGCAGGAAAGAGTACCAGGAGCAAGGCCTAGGCCGATAGGCCGTGTGTCCTGGCCACATACTTCCCTGCCTGAGCCCACATCCCTTTATTCATCCAGGACTCCACACTGTTCCACAGGCTGGGCCAGGCTGGTGTGAAACGACCCCCGTGTGTTCATCTCCCAGGTCTCCTGTTCCACCCGTACCTCACTCCCCCAGGACATCCAGCACAGCTTGGGCGCTTTCCAGGGGCCCAAGGCCTTGGCAGGATGGCGGGGGTGGGGAGGTCTGGAGACAAAGGGCATGGGGTGTCCCACGGGCCCCATCAGCCTTTGGACAGTTGACACTTCCTGTGCAAATGTCACCCTAAGCCAAGCCCTGCCTCTAGAAGATTACCATCCCCTAAGTCCCTCCCAAGGAGAAACGCCAAGGCTACAGCGGACCTCTGATGACCATCCCTGGACACCACAGGGCCCCAGTCAACTGAGGTCCCTCCCGGGTTCTCAGACTCTCCTGGCTATGAAACCCTTCGTCTGTCCAAAGCCGGTTCTCTGAACTCCTCAGCTGGACAGCTCAAGACGGAGGGAGGCAGGGAGGGCTCTGAAGCCCCCTTTACCCCCACACACAGGCCCTGAGGGCCTCCCCCAGGAGAAACCAGTCACGGAGAGTCACAGCCCCCACCTCCCAGGACTGGGCAGCCCCACCCTGCTCACCATCACCAGGCGAGTCAGCGTGGGCTTCTGAGCAAAGTGAAAGTCCTCTTGGTCCTTGATGCTTCTGATGGCCCTGGTCACCTGCACAACACTCTTCATGAAGGCCATTTTGAGGCTGATGTCCTATGTCCAGAGGAAGGAGGGGAAGGGGATCCTGTCTGTGAGGGAGCTCCTAAAGAACCCGAGCCTCAGGACTCACTCCTGGMCCCCTCTGCTCTGAAGAAGGTTCAATGTCAGGGATGCTCTGAGCAGGGGTCGGCTCAGTCTGTCCTTGAAGCACATGGACTTGGCATCTGCCCCATGGTGGGGGATGCTGCACTGGACACAGCACCCAGGCCCCAGAGAGGATGCCACTCCCCAAGCCTCCACATCTGTGCCTGAGGGCAGCCACGCAGCTCAGTGGCCTGCTTCAGAGACCCTCTGTGTCACCAAGCAGGTAGAACAAATTATTGACATACAATAACTGGATAATTACTGTACGATTCCACTTACGTGAGGAACCTGGAGTAGTAGAACTATAGAGCTGGAAGGTAGGACAGTGRTTGCCAGGGTTGGGGGAGGAAAAGTGGGGAGCCAGGGTTTGATGGCGAYGGGGTTTCCATTTTGCAAAATGAAGAATTCTAGAGAAGGGTGAYGCGACACCATGATGTGATGTACTTACTGTCATTGAGCCGTTCCCTAAACATGATTACAATGGTCATTTGAATGTTGGGTACATTTTACCGGTTTTCAAAAAATAAAAATGAAGTAACTTTTGCTTTACCCTGTTTTCTCCTCCCTATTTCAGGAAAGCACCCAGTTCCTTTGCATCTTGAAGACAAGCCCACTTCCTGTCTTTTAGGCAAGGCCTGGGCCAAGTGTCAGGTGGACCAGAGATGAGGGCAGAGGGAGCAGGAGAATCTGGGAAGAGGTGGRGTTCACCCCACACAGCTCTTGAGGGATGTCCCCTTCCTTTCCTATGTGACATTGAAGAACTGGGAAGAGTACCAGTCTGGGGAAGGAGCTCCCCAAAGGCTGAGCACCAGGGACTGCTCAGGAGGTGATGCCGGGCACGCAGCAGCGAGGCTCAAGGGAGGCACCCGGCCCCGTGTGGGTTACCTGGCAGCTGCTGGAGTAGTGGTGAATGATCTTAGCGGTGATGGGGGTGTCCACGTGGGAGAAGAGCATCTGGGGGTGGCAGTAAGAGGACACACAGCCATACATCACCATGAGGGCACTCTTCACCGTCTCCCGCCTCCAGGGGTGGTCTTTCTGTGGGGCAGTGAGGAAGGGCAAGGACCACTGGGGACGCAGGCTTTCCCAGCTCGCCCCTCTGGGGGAGCAGCTGCAGAGTCACAAAGTGCCCCCACGACTGTGTCGGGGTGCCTGGCCCTGGTTCACACACGCACCAACATACTCATTTCCATCTGGGCTGAGCACCTACCATATACACCAGGAATGACAAGAAGCGTTGAGCAACACAGACTCAGGGCCCTGCCTCCCCCAGGAGGCTTCAGTCCAGTGACAGACACCAGGACCACCCATCRGCTAAGGGAGGTTGGGGGGACACCCCTACCCAGAGGCTGCCTTTGTACTGCTTCATGCCTTCCCTGTAGGCACCTGCTCAAGGCCAATGCTCCTGAGCTGAGGACCCGTGGCCCTGCCTTCCTGGTGCTCACACCCTCTGAGAGGGAGGAGCCGTGGGAGGCCAGACTTCCCTTGCACAGGACGCCGGGGCCCCACGCACTGCTAGCCTTGGGTAGGGCTGGCTCTCAGTCCTGCTGAGGGAGGAGCTGGGGCAGAAGCCAGGGACAGGCTCAATTCTCTCCATCCACACAACCAGACTCCAGGCAGGGGTTTGAGGTCAATGCCAAAGCCCAGGGCACTGGCAGCAGATGGTTTCCTATGGTGGCTCAGCCAGCCTGCAGCATCGTCTTCTGAGGCTCCAGAGAAGGGACCTGGCTGCCCCTGTCCAAGTTTGTGCATGTGGACAAACTTCCATGTCCTCTTCTCTAAACAGTGGGACTTGATCAGGTAAATGCTATTGTATTCAGAGGTGAGAAAAACACACAAGAAGTGGAACCGGGGTTTAAAACCAAGCGGTCACATTCTGAGGCTCCTGTTCCAACACACGGCCCCTCCAGTATACGTGGTCCACTTAGCACGTGGGTAGCGCCAACCCAGCATCTTTGGTAGGAGCCTTGACCTTGATGAAGGTGTGAAGGAGTGCACAAGTGGCCTCTGGCTGGTGGTGTCCCCATCAACCTCCCTCCCTCACAGCTGATGGGTGGTCCTGCACGCAGGAGGCTTCCACCTGGACTGAGGGACCCAGTGTTCAGGGACGACCGTTTGACGATATCAGGCTCCTGCAAAGGCCCTCCCTGTGCTCCTCACATGTTCTCAGTCGTCGAAGCAATGGGAGACACAGGGGAACGCGGCACACCAGCTGTGCTGTGCTCAGAGGCCCGGAGGCCAGAGTGGAGCGGGGGGCCTCACCCGCCAGGCACTGATCTGCCAGGACTGCTCCGACTCCTGGATCCTGTCCTCGAAGTCTTGGAGCACGTTGAGCACGGTCCTCGCCTGGCCCCGGGCACACAGGCCAAAGCATAGAACCACGCCCTGTGGGGAGACCCCGCCAGGCAGGGTGAGGGCCTGGGGCAGGGGGAGAGCAGGGTGCGAGCACACGTGCACACACATGCATGTCCACAGGAATGAACACACGTCCCCCGGGATCCAAAGGGGCCTGGGGGTTTGAGGGGCTGTGGACACCCTCACCTCCCGGTCAAAGTCGTTGCTGTAGTCGGTCTTGTACAGCAGCTCCAGCAGCAGCAGCTCCACCTTGTCAGCCTCCAGCCCCATGGCCAAGGTGAAGCCCAAGGCCCGGTACAGAAAGCCCTGGAGAGTGGGAGGGAGGGAGGGAGGGAGGGAGCTCAGACCGCCCGTTCCCCCTCCAGGTGGTGCTGTTGCGGAGGGCTTCCTACACATCCCTCCAGATTTTTATCATTATTATTATTATCGTCTTACTGTACATATAGCTATGTGAGTCCTATATTCTTTAAAATAAATATTCAGTTTTTTCTGGAGGTCTGGTTGTATACAGGCAGGYGTGGTGTACATCTCAGCAGCCTAAGCCAAACCCTCTCCCTAGTAAGTGGGGCCCACGGGTCTCTCCACCCACTCCCTGACCCAGGGATGCTCAGGGAGCCTGGAGCATCCTCAGGTGGACCTGTTTCTCTGATTACTAGTCACGTTGGCCATCTTTCCATATTCTCCTCCTGAGACATATTACCCCTTTTAATTTTTGGCTATATTCTTTCCCTAATTTTTCTAGTGGGTTACTTTATTATTATTATTATTTGTAAGAATTTTACTTTTATACTTGGAAACATAAGAAGAATCACATAATCCTCACAGTAACTTGATAAGGTAAATGCTGTTGAATTCAGAGGTGAGAAAAACACACAGGAAGTGGAACCGAGGTTTAAAACCCAGCGGTCCCATTCTGAGGCTCATGTTCCAACACTGGCTTATCGAAAGCCTCAATTCGGGTCAGGGTTTTCAAGACGGTGGAATACAGGAGGTCGCTTTCCTGGCTGCTCAGCGGAGTGAATCCAAGAAAGCAGTTGGGCAGCTTCTGGGTGGGTGAGCAAAGCAACAACTGGATACACGGGAGACCTGTCTGGATTTAAGCTGGACATTCAAAGCAGATCRGGGACTCAGGAGGTTGGCTATAATAAAATGAGGAAGAAACCCCAGGCCACAGCCACTGCACAGTTGGAGGCACCAGCCTGAGCAGTCCCTCTTCGAGCGAGCCAAGCGGAGGGATGAGGGAATTTTTAGGCGGCCCAAAGCATGYCTGGGTATGGTGAATTTAGAGCTCAAAGACACCACCCGACTAAACCAACAGGCACKGTGCACAACATCCTTGTGCAGGAAAGAAGCCCCCATCTCTCCCAGCAGTGTGCAGAGACTGAGGAAGAAACCGTGTTGCAGSTGCAGCATCAGGGCCGGCACCTGGGAAGCTGTTTTCTGGCAAACCCGAGTCTGGCCTGAAATGCAGACCTGGAAAACCCACACTGCACGACACAGTGTGCCTAAGTGACCAGGAGGAAATCACACATGGAGAAAGGTTTACACAGGGGGTACTGGACGTGAAAACCCACTTGGCTCTATCCCTCCACCTCCAACCTTGCAGGATCGGCTGGGGGAGATGCACTTGGCCGCGAACTCGAAAGGGAAGGGCAGGAGAGATTGAGTTTGGAGACTGAAYCAMGMCCAGRAAACATGGGGTCCAGAGGTGACCTAGTGGACTAAGGATGGGCTCCTCCACCACAGAAATGGAACGCAGGGGAGATCCTGGGGTGCAGACTTCCAATGGGGACTGGCAATGGCTGGGCCCTGGAGGGGAGCTGATTTGAAATCTCCGGACCAACTGGTATTCAGCAAAGCACCTAGAGCCAGCCTGAGCCTAAACCCTGCCTCCAGGAATTCTGCCTACGGGATCACCTCTCCCACTCCAGCCCCCAGAGGGCGGAGCAGCACCCTCCAGAAGACCYCCCCAACACTGCTGAGAAGCTGGGAGTCTTGTGAACTCCAACAGGAAGAATTCTTTAACTCTCCATCAAGATTTTTTTCTTTTCTGTATTTAATTGTGACCTTAATGGTTCATGGTCATTTATACAACACTCATATTTGGTTTTTTTTTTTTTCTCATTTCAACATTTTTGAAGCCAGTTTGYTTTCATGGATCAGTTTTTGAGGCCTAGCATGTTTGATTACTATATTTCATTTTTGTTTTGTATTATTTTATTTTTATTTTTAACTTTTAAAAGTTTTACTTTACATATATTTTCTCTCTCAACTGTTTCCCCAACTCTCTCTTTTCTTCTGCTAACAGCCTATCTCTATTGTTCTCTTTTTCACTCTTCCTTTAATTTTTTATTTCTCTCTTCTCTCCTCCTCCCTTATAATTATCATATCCTATATCACTTCTATTCTCTCCCTGTTCACTATTCACCATTCTCCCTGTTCACCATTGTAAACCCTTTGGCAAACTTACTTTTTTATAGTAGGCAATAACTAATCATATCATTTCTGTTTATTKGGACAATTAATATTGTAGATGTGATAGAAGGAACTACTTTGTTTCATGCTGTATATTGTTTGCACTGGTTGTTGTTATTATTTGTCTCCCCCTACATGGTGAGGTACTAGAAACCTTCAGGGATGCTATAAGTCCCCAGGATAGAAACTCTATTACCTCAGACCCAGACTCATAAACAATATGAAAAAGCAAGAGAACAAATAAACCAAGGTACTCCAGTAACAGAATAGTAGAAGAAATATCAGAGAAGAAGTTTAGAATGTACATAGGTAAACTGATCTGCAAGGTAAAGAATGCTGTAAGGAATGAAATCAGAGAGAAAATAAAAGAGTGAAAGATCACTTCAATAAGGAGATAGAGATTCTGTTAAAATATCAAGCAGAAATCCTTGAAATGAATGAATCAATAAACCAAATTTAAAAAATCATTGCAAAGAATCAACAACAGATTACATCATTTGGAAGATAAGAGTTCTAGGCAATGAAGGAGGACAAAATATATAATCAAAATTGACCATGGAGAAAAGATATTAAGAGACCRTGATCAGAACTTCCAAGAAATAGGGATAACCTGAAAAGACCAAATTTAAGGTTTATTGGGACAGATGAAGGCTCAAAGACACAAACCAAAAAATGCACAAACTTTTCAATGAAATAATATCAGAAAATTTCCCAAACCTAAAGAAWGAAGTAGAAAATCAGATATAGGAGGCTTACAGGACACCACATCAAATTACAACAGACCCACAGCAAGGCATATTATTATGAAAATTTCTAATATACATTACAAGGTTAGAATTTTAAAGGCTTCCAGAGAAAAATGATGGGTCACATTTAGAGGGGAACCAATCTGGATGTCAGGTGATCTCTCCACAGAGACCCTCAAAGCTAGGTGGTCATGGAATGATAAGAAAATGGATGCTAGCCAAGAATGCTGTAYCCAGCAAAATTAACCTTCAGAATTGATGATGAAATAAAAAACCTTCCATGATAAATAAAAGTTAAAAGAATTCACAACTAGAAAGCCTGTACTACAAAATATACTCAATAAAATATTTCATGAARAAGAAATGAAAAATGAAAGTGAAAAACAGCAAAGGGAGGAACTATACTAGAAGAATATAAGAATAGTCAATCAAAGAAAAACTAATTCAAATTAAAAACCAGAGATCAATCAAAATGATAGGGAATAAAAACCATATCTCAATAATAACATTGAATGTAAATAGACTAAACTTTTCAATGAAAAGACAGACTGGCAGATTGGGTTAAAAAACTAGACCCAACCATATGCTGTTTCCAAGAGACTCACCTCATAGGCAAAGACATCCACAGACTAAAGGTAAAAGGATGGGGACAACATTCCATTCACATGGAGCTCATAAACAAGCAGGGGTGTCAGTCCTCATATCAGATAAGGTGGACTTCAAGCCAAAGTTAATCAGAAGAGACAAAGGAGGACATTATACTGCTTAAGGGGATTATACATAAATAAGACATAACAAGCATAAATATTTATGCCCCAAACAATGGAGTGTGTGTGTGTGTGTGTGTGTGTATATGTATATATAAAACAAACCCTTCTCAATTTTAAGAATTAGATAGACCACAACTCAAAAATAGTGAGTAACTTTAACATCTCTCTCACCACTGGATATATCCTCCAAACAAAAACTAAATAAAGAAGCTATAGAACTAAATCATTCAATTAATAATTTAGACTAAATAGACATATATAAAATATTTCATCCATCAATGATTGAAAACACTTCCTTCATAGCAGCACACGATTCTTCTCTAAAATAGCATGGGGAGCCACTCTGAACGATTTGCTCTTTCCATCCTGGAGTGGAGAGGCTCTGACTGTCACTACATCTCACAGTGACCTGGACATTGCCCTGGTTTGAGGGCGTGTCTTCAGATGTAGGCGGGTTACCCATGGATTGAGCCACACTCACCTGTTCCTTTGTAATTTTACCCCTTTGCCCTGTTTGGGATAGAATGTTCCATGGAAACGCCCTTTGTGTGTCCCCTTCTCTTGCTCTGCCTTTGGATGTGGCCTTCCTAGATGTCAGTCAACCTGCTGACAGCAGACTACACGAAGCTAGATTCAACCCCTTGAAACCTGACCCCTGGCCTCATTTGAATGGTTTCTCCTCAATTAAAGGGTTCAGCACATGCTCACTCTCTTTCTCTTTCTGTGGACCCTGAAGGTCAGAGACGCTGTCACAGGACCCCAAAGAAAAAAGTATCTTTGTCTCTTGTGTGATTATTTCGTGCAACCCAGTTCACCTGGAGTGACCCTGAGTGTTTTTGTCATGAGGAACATGACAAAATAGACCATATCTTAGGCCACAATGCRACTATCAGCAAAAAGAAAGAAACAGAGGTAACAGCTTGCATCCTATCAGATCATAATGGAATGAAATTAGAAATCACTAATAAAAAATAGAAACTATTCCAACACCTGGAAACTAAATTGCATGTTATTGAATGGATAGCAGGAGAAATCAAGCATGAAATTTAAAAATATAGAGATAAATGAGAACAGCAATAAAACATATTAAAATCTCTGGGATACTATGAAGGCAGTGCTAAGAGGAAAGTTCATTGTATTGAGCTCATTCATTAAAAGACTAGAAAGTCAACAAATAAATAACCTAACATTATATCTTAAAGCCCTAGAAAAATAAGAACAAATTAATAAGAGCAGTAGAAGACAGGAAATAATTAAAACCAGAGCTGAAATCCATGAAATCGAAACAAAAGAAACAATCAAAAAACTGACAAAG